AGTCACCACCCCGAGCACTGCCCACAGTCCCACTCTCCTTTTGCCAAACCCCCAGACAACATCGCGTCCATGCCATTGCTGAGCAACAACAACACGGAGACATGTCGAGAAAACGCTGTTCAGTCTGGATGTCAGGAAACTACATCATTGTACAGTAGGGTTGTGACGGTCACCGTGACAACCGCGCCACCGGCGGTAGTGCACGTGATGTCACACACTCTATAACAAGCATAATACAATGTTTTGTATTACAAGTGTAATAATAGTAACAGCTGAGCGCAGGAAAATACAGTACAGAATACAGAAACCAAATACTACATCACCAATCTGGAATAATTTCCATTGATGTCACCAGTCCGCATTTGTACAGGTGTCTTCAAGTTCACATGATCGCAAACGCTCGGCTGGTCAGGTTTGTATTTACTGCATTCGGTGTTTGAAAAAATAAAACATGAATTGCCATTCTGAAACATCCTGTTGTAAGCGCGTTTGAGGAGGTGGTTGGTTGTCTCCTGTCGTCGCCGATTCGGGGTCTGAGTTCGGCTCAAACATGTAAGGCCGGACAACAGTTCCCTTAGCAGTGACCATCATTACCGGTGTTTCTATTGACCTTACTTGTGAGTATCACCAAGCCACAGCAGGCTACAGCATACATGACCCTAGTTACCTGTGGTTGGCCTGGCCGTGCGTCACTCAGAAAACAACAGGCCAATCAGAAGAGAGGCTCATGAATATTAATTAGGCAAAAATCGACCTGTTCTTTGCAGAGCTCCTGAGAGTGGAGCTGTAAAAATATATTGAGATGGTTTTTGGTACTTATACCACAAATATATATTCTTAAGGACATCAAGACTTAAAATAAAACTCCAGAAAGGTGTAAAATATGTGACCTTTAATTTATGTTTTAATTTTTATTCTTTTAATTTTAATTTTGGAATAGACTTTAGTGACCCTGAATGTCCACATATTTTGACCAAATAATACAATTATATATGTTAAAAAATCATAAATAATTTGGTTATCACAGGTTTGTTTCTACTGATGGCACAGTCCCACGTCGGACCCCTCCCATTCATCCGAAGTACGGCACAATAGACAAGTACCAGTCTTTACCAAAGACCACACGGCAAAGCCCAACAACTGCTCCCCATCAGTTGCCCAGTGAATACAAATATTCCCATGACCGGCTTAATCACTTCCAGATGACCCACAGCCACACCCAGCGACCCGCGACGCATGACAACACTGTGTGGCAGCTCTTCGAATGGCAACAGCGACAGCAATATCGCCACGGCAGCCCCACCGCCCCCGTGTACACTCCGGCCCCAGACTACTCCACAGCCGTATCCTCCACCAGAGTCAACTCTGACATTGCTCGCTCTATTTCTGTGCCTCCAACCCTGGCAGACATCCCTCCACCCGGGCCTCCTGGGCCCAGACTGCTGTCTCCACGCAGAGCCCACACTCCTGCAGAACGCGTTACAGTCAAACCCCTGGAGGACAAGCCCACCGTGGAGGTGCCACCGTCAAACTCTCCTCACCGTCTACGCTCCTATAAGGTCAGTAGGTGACATGAACAACCACCCTGCTTATCCATAACATCACAATCCACAGTAGTAGTATTTACAAGAAAGTCTGTGGGATTATGAAAGATTTTGAGGTTACCATTCAAAAGTTTGGGGTCAGTAAGATTTTTATATATATTTTTTAAAAGTCTCTAATGCTCACCAAGGCTGTATTTGATTTTCAAACATACAGTAAGATCAGTAATTGCTAATTATTACAATTTAAATATATATATTTTTTTATTTTAATACATATTAAAATATAATTTATTCATGTGATGGCAAAGCTGAATTTTCAGCAGCCACTCAGTGTCACATGAGCCTTCAGAAATCATTCTAATAAGCCGATTTGGTGCTTAAGAAACATTTCTTATTTATATCAATGCTTAAAATAGTTGTGTTGATTAATTTTGTGTGGAAAAAATATTTAATATTTAATGCATCCTGTTGATTAAAATTAGTATTTAATGTTAAAAAAAAACATAAAAAAATGTTTTTAATGTCATTATGCATTATATGAACCTGGCCTAAGCTTCTAAGCATTTTCAAGGAGCAAAATGTCTGGCAGTAAGATTTAAAACTCTCCTTTAAAAAGAGAAGTGGTCGAGTCTGAAAGAAGCATGCATTTAGAGACATCATGATGGATGTTAATACTGCTCAGAAACTCTTGATCAAATAACACCAGCCTTCAATGTTTTCAAACTGGCAGCATTAGTCCATCTGTCTACAACAGAGTTGTAATTCAGCATGAATTATCAGTGGTGTCTCTGTAATGGAACGAGTGCCAGACTCAAAGTGCTTGAGTGGGATGATTTTTATATACTTAATTTTCTTCACTTAAAGGGGTCATATGATGCGATTTCAAGTTTTCCTTTCTCTTTGGAGTGTTACAAGCTGATTGTGCATAGATAAGATCCCTGAAGTTGCAAAGACTAAAGTCTCAAAACCAAAGAGATATTCTTTATCAAAGTTAAGACTCTGCCACGCCCCCCTAAAACGGCTCGTTCTAACACGCCCCCACATATCTACCACTCACATCACAGTGGAGTCAGCTGTCTTAACCGTGGCTTGTGTACTGCAAACACATACCAGCTTCATCACTGTGTCTGTCACGCGACTCTGTTCCCCTTTCGGGCCCTGTCTTTACATTTATTTTGATAGATGAAACTTGCGATTATGGTAAGGGGCGTTACCTTTCCGACAAGTGCTTGCGGTGTTCGGCCAATCACAAGAGAGGCGGGGCATAGAGGACCTACAATAATGTACAGTATTTGAAAAATAATGTGTTTTTTGAACATTAAGGCATGTCAACATATTCTGTTACACCAAATACACAAAATAATGATCTTTAAAAAAGCATCATATGACCCCTTTAAAGTTCCTGTGTGTGTCCTTTAAAAACCTTTTAACCATCTCAAGTTAGCAGGCAGACATGTCTAATCCAAATGATGACTTAAAACTTGACTGAATCCATGATGATTAATAAATCCAAATATGTTATATTTCAAAGGTTTTAAATTATTAAAAGTATATTTTGGTGTGTACTGTCATTTTTACTTTTATGTACACTAACGTTTACAAGTCTGGGTTCAGGAAGATTTTTTTGTTTAAACATATTTATACTTTCATTCAGCAAGGATGGATTAAGTTGATCAAACGTGACAGTAAAGACATTTATAATGTTACAAAAGGTTTCTATTTCAAATAAATTATGTTATTTTGAGCTTTCTATTCATCAAAGAATCATGAAAAAATGTATCATGGTTTCCCCAGAAGTAATTTTTTATCATCTAATAATAAAAAAGTTTTTTGAGCACCAAATCAGCATAATGGAATGATTTCTGAAGCATCAGACTGGAGTAATGGCTGCTGAAAATTCAGCTTTGCCACCACAGGAATAAATTACATTTTAAAATATATTAAAATAGAAAACAGTTATTTTAAATTCTAATAATATATTACTATTTTTACTGTATTTTTTTAATAAATAAATGCAGACAATAAATGCAGATAGTATTATTATAGTGTTACATGTTGACGAGCACATACTGAAAGACATATGTGACCCTGGACCACAAAACCAGTCTTAAGTCGCCATACATCAATGGAAAGCTTATTTATTCAGCGTTCAGATGCTGTATACATCTCAATTTTGAAAAATTGACCCTTATGACTGGTTTTGTGGTTCTCCAGGGTCACATATTGCTTATGTCTGTTTTTTGATCAAGTATATTTAAATGCATTCATCTCTTTTCTTTTCTTTTTATTTTATCATTCTGCAGTCGGCCACAATAGAGAGACGCTCAATGCCTCCATCCGGCTATATCACACATACAGTCAGTGCACCCAGCCTGCATGGAAAAACAGTAAGTTTCTTTCTGGAAAAAATATTTAGCGATTACAAATAGTTTTGGATTTTAAGGTAAGGTTTACTTTGTCTCTTTTGTGCTGCTGTTAAAGCAATCTGTAAGGTATCAGCAAAGTGGCATAAAATGACCCAAAAAACCTCTGCTGGTGGAGACAGTCCTCTTCTTTTCATGGCTCTAATGGGCACTTGTGTAAATAATCTGATCACATAACTCTCTCTCTGCCCTGATTGTACCCTCACAACCTATGGTCCAGCCACAGGAGCTCACCCTTCTCCTCATCCAGTTACGGAGACACCAGGCCATGATGGCAGGTGTGCGCAACAATGCGCTGGCCCACCTCCAGCAGTTGTCTCGGGTGAAGGTCAGGGCTCGTCCTGCCCAGCTAGCACCTCTCATTACTAGCGTGCCTCTGCTGCTGTTATTTACCCCGCCTGGCTCTCTGTAGCTCCCTTGGCTTTGTTACACGATGCTTCTTTGTACTGTAGCATGGCATGTCATGCTTGGGGGCTGTATCTAGATGTCCCACCGTCGGCATGAATTATATGTAACTGGTCATTATGCATGCTACATGAGTATGCTTTGCTGTTGCTCCAAACATCAGAAATGCAAAGATCAAAATTGTTTGCATGCATGAAGTAGTAGGTGTACGTTGGAGTCTGTGGAAACCTTATCTGAAGTTCTGGTTTGATCTGGTTGCAGGATATGCGTAGATAATTTCTGCAGTAACATCATAATAAACATGCTTTGTTATTGGTAGTAATAATATGTGTGCAGAAGTATATTGCTCTAAGCGTAATTACTTTGCTTTGTACTAAATGCTTTGGCATCAAGGACTGTGGTAAAGTTAAACAAATATTCAGTAACACTTTACAATAAGATCTCATTTTTTAATGCATTAACTAACATGAACTAACAATGAGCAATACATTTTTACAGCATTTATTAACCTTTGGAAATGTTAGTTCATAAAAATGGTCATGTTAGTTCACAGTGCATTAACAGATACAACATGTGATGATCATTAGTAAATGTTGAGATTAACATTAATAAATGCTATAGAAGTATTGTTAATTGTTAGTTCATGTTATCTAATGTGGTTGACTAATGTTAACAAATTAAACCTTATTGTGAAATATTACCAAATATTCTTTTGTTTCTAACCTAATGTCAATGTAACACACTCAGAAAAATAATTTTCTTAATCTATACTTTTGTTTTGTTTTCCTGTAAAAAAAACAAAAAAAACATCCCTAAACAAACATAAATTTACTTGAGAAGCAAAATTACATATTATATTAATTAAGACTTTTTTTTGCATTATGCTTAGGTTAAAGGTTAAAACCTATTTTTAGGTTTATGCTTAAAACAAACACTATTTGCTGCCAAAGGGGTAAAAAGTAAACTTATTTTAAAAATATGTTCTATGAAATATAAAGTGTATTCTCTTACTAGCTTACAAGACATTGCTTCTCAAGTAAATTTACACTACTGTTCAAAAGGTATAGGGTCAGGGCGACATATGAAGAAATATATTGATCAAAAGTTAGTGTAAAGACATTTATAATGTTATAGCTTTCTAAAAAATAATCACTCAATCACAGAATCAGCATATTAAAATGATTTCTGAAGGATCATGTGACACTGAAGACTGGAGTAATGATGCTGAAAATTCAGCTTTACCATCACAGAAATAATTTACATTTTCAAATATATTAAAATAGAAAAAGTTATTTTAAATTCAAACAATGTTTCACAATATTACTGTTTTTAACATATTTTTGATCAAATAAATGAAGCCTTGATGGGCATAAGAGACATCTTTTAAAAACATTAGAAAAATCTTACCAACCCCAGTCTTTTGAGCGGTAGTGTTTATAAGCTGTCACTTGCATGTAAATGCCAACAGTGTTCAACAGAAATGAGTGTGAGATGTGTAGTATGTCCCAAAGCATAGCCAGCTATTGCTTTAATGCTAGTGCAGTGTTAGCCTAAAATGTGTGGTGGATAAATGAAACAACTGATTAGTGTTAATTAAAGAGTAGAAGAGTGTCAATTGAAATATTTTCCCTGCTACTTACAGGCTGATGACACATACATGCACTTGAAGAAGGACCTGGAATATTTAGATCTGAAGGTGGGACCTCTCCATTTCTGTCTCTCTATTCCTGTCTTACTTTCTTCTTAAACCTTCTGTATTAACACACTAACACAGCACAGAAACCTCACTTGAGGCGAGGAATCAAGAATTTGCTTCTTTTTTTTTTCAGAAATTGTTTATATTTAGTATGCTAACTTTGTGGCATAATCAGGAATTACATAGTCTTAGAATGGTAATGGTAATAGTAATGATCCAGTCGAAGGGCATATAAGGCTGGTCCTCCTTTGACTGTAACTGTCTATCTCCATTTGCCACAGATGAAAAGTTTAGAGCCATTGATCCTCATGGTTCACAGTGTGTTACAAACCTGCACTGCAGGGGGTTTGAGACCACTCTGGAACGTAAGCACTGTCAGCATCCAGAGTGTCCGCGTTCCCATTGCTTTACACGTTGCACATAGCTTTGTGTTGGCACAAGCCTGGCACCTGCACGCCTATCCTCCCTGCCTTTTGTGAGTGATGTGTTGTGGGTATGTGTGATTGGGTCAATGAGACGGCAGGTCTGGATGGGACAGGCAAGCTCAGTGCATGTGCAGGGAATGACCCACATTTAGCCAGCTGATTCTCCAATGCATTCTGTTTCTTTCTTTATCAAGCTATTTATCTCATAAGATCCATCAATATGATATCTAGTAATCGGTCTTGTGCGTATTTTTCCAGGTGATCTAAATGTTGTAGCGGTAGAGTATTCCTCAGTGTTGGGGAAAATACTTAAATTCTTAATTCCTCTTGAAACAATTATTTAGAAAACTTACTAGCTTCACTACAAGATGCTAATAACAAGTAGCTAACTACATTGAAGGGGGCAGTTTTCAATTATATAATTATAAGATATGATTTATTTAAAAAGAGCTAGAGTTATCTGGCACAAAATCAATTAGTAATATAATATTAATAAATAATATAAACTAGGCTAACAGCATCCAACTTAATTTAAAATAATAAAACTAAACACTGTAATTTCTATACACTACCACTGAAAAGTTTGGGGTCAGTAAGATTTAAAAAAATACTTTTATTCAGTAAAGATGCATTGAATTGATCAAAGGTGACAGTAAAAACATTTATAATGTTGCAAATGATTTCTATTTTAAATTAGTGCTGTTCTTTTGAACTTTCTATTCAACAAACAATCCTGAGAATAATAAAAATAAAATCTATCAAAGATATTAAGGAGCACAACTGTTTTCAGCATTGATAATAATAAGAAATCAGCATATTAGAATGATTTCTGAAACATTATGTGAAATAGAGTAATGGCTGGTGAAAATTCTGCTTTAAATATAAAATTCTGTTTTAAATTGTAAATGTCAATTTTTAAATAAATGATCAATTGTAATGGTATTTCACAATATTACTGTTTTTACTACATTTTGATCAAATAAATTTCAAAAACATAAAAAAGAATTGTACTGACTTTTGTAAAGCAGCGTAACTAAATCTACAAAAACAGTGGCAGAAACTTTTTATTGCTAAAAATATATTATACTAATTACTACATATCACTTAAAATAACTGCATATCACTACAAAAAGAAGACCTAAAATGCTGATTTAAATATGCATCTGTAAATTTGTTTTTGATCCAGTTCATTTAAATGAATCTTCCACATGATTTAAATAGGCCTTCCCAGCACTATTTGAAAGAAAGAAACATTCAAGTTTGACTCCTCTTGCTTGGCTGCAAGGCTGTGTGTGAAATAATGCGAAAATAAAAAGTACAGGTAGCACTGTTTTGAAACCAGCTTAGCTAAGTTGTAGCTTTGCTTTTTTAGTTAGTTCCTCCCCCACACCGTCCAGTTCATCGTTGTCCAGAGCTTGGGTTTCTTTTATGAGTTGACCATGCAGCGTTTTCTGTGGAGCCTTTATTTTAGACATTGCATTTATGTCCCACAGCTGTATTCTGTTGGCATGAAGATCGTGAGACACCATCTTGCCATTGTGCTTCCAGAAAGCTTCAGCTCCTACATATGTGCATTAGAAATGAAGAATACTGTCTCAAAGCTTCTCACTGTGACTTTCAATACAGTGTCCATTGTATAGTGTTGGTCTTGCTTTGCTTGTGTTGAATAAATAGATGTGTTTCTGTCTCTGGAGCTCTAAGACAAGGAGGCTTTATCTGTGAATTGTTTATTAGGTGAGTGCGACAGAGAGTCTGAAAGGACGGCCGGCAAAGCCAGTGAAGGTGGCAGAAAGTGATGTAGATGTGAGTATAGAGGACAAACCAGTGCCCTAACCCAATTTCCTAGTCTGAACTGGTCCATAATGCTCTGTTTCCTACTGCAGGTGACACTGAGTCGATTGTGTGAACAAGACAAAATACTGCAAGAGCTTGAGTTCAGACTCAGTGGACTTAAGGATGATAAGGTGAGGCACATTTTCCGAAGAAAAGCACGGCTGTTGCTTTGATCCATTTATTATGGGTATGTCAGTGTTAATATCTTTGTTCTTTCTTTCTAGGACAAGCTTGAGTCTGTTCTGGATGTGTCCCACCAGCAGATGGAGCAGTACAAGGATCAGCCAGCTCACGCTGAGAAGATCGCCTACCAGCAGCGACTCCTTCAAGAGGACCTGGTGCATATTCGAGCTGACATTTCTAGAGTGTCAACGGTGAGTATATTACGTGATGTAGACCTACAGTGCTTCGTGTCTCCATTAATCCATATTGATCTGAAATTAAAGGGGTCCTATTATGCTTTTTCACTTTTTCAACTTTAGTTAGTCTGTAATGTTGCTGTTTGAGCATAAAAAAGATCTGCAAAGTTACAAAGCTCAAAGTCCACTTCAAAAAAATATATTTTATTTAACAGAAATCACTTTTCAAAAACTACAACGAACGACTCGTTTGTACTACAACTCATATTTTCCGGGATTTGTGATATCACAAATATCGACGAATGAGACGAGACCTGGTTGAGCTGCACTAGAGAAGACAACGAGTGTTATCACTATGTCGGAGGCACGCTAGCTTTCCCAAGGCAGACGAACTTAGAGTGGTTACAATCATCCGGGTTTAAATCGCGCTCAAATTGATCTGATTTTGACGCAATATTTACACTGAAGCTCGCAGGGGGCTATGGTAAGGGGCCGAGTGCTGCCAATCACAACGCACACTGGCCCAGCTAACCAATCACAGCACATTTCGTATTTCAGAAGGCGGGCCTTCATTTGATACAGGAACTATTCGAGCCGTTCATGCCAGACTGGGGAGAGAGGTGTTGCAATAATGTAAAATATGTGAAAAATAATGTGTTTTTCGAACAACCAATTTCAGTGTGTAGTTTTGTTCTGTAATTTAACATTATAATAATATAACCACTCCATCTCCAAACCACTTGTCATATGTAGGGTCACAGGTAATATGATATAATATTTAATGTAATGTATAATAAGTAGGTTTTGTTCATATATTTGTATTGTTCAGGAGATGGAGAGAGCGTGGGAGGACTACAGCAGGTTGGAGCAGTCAGTGGAACAGCTGAAGGACATCCTGCAGACTCAGATGAATCTCTGCACTTCACCTCAGGTCTTTTTTTTTCTCTCCATTTCTTAATACTTTTTTATAGTTTGCTATCATGTTTTTCTCTCATCTTTTTGATCAGCTGCTTTATTATTATTTGTATTCATTTTGATTTGCAGTCACCTTTAGCTAGAATCCGTGTTATTTTTAGTATCATTGAAATACTATTATATGTTTTGTTCATATTTTAAATTAGCTTTTATTTCAAAATTTATTTTATTTTATTTCTTCTCTTCTGTAGTTTTGAAGTTTTTTGTTTTGTTTTGTTTTGTTTTGTGTGTTTTATTTGTTTTGTTTCTTTGTTTTTTTGTTTTGTTTCGTTTTTTAGTGCTGGGCAATGATTAATTGCGATTAATCGCATCCAGCATAAAAGTTTTTGTTTAAATAGTGTGTACTGTGTATATTTATTATGTATATATAAATACACAACATGCATGTATATATTTAAGAAAAATATATTGTTTAAATATTAAATATATTTATGTATAATATAAATTATATGAATATAAATATATATACTGTATGTGTGTGTATTTATATATACAAGATAAATATACACAGTACACACACATATATTATGTAAACAAGAACTTTTATTTTGGATGCGATTAATCGTTGCCCAGCACTATTTTTTTAATATTTTTTTTAGGTTTTGGTTAGTTTTAGTTTATTTTGCTCAGTTTATTTTAGTACTTAAGCTTAAAGTACATAAAAATGAGAAATTTTGCCTTGGCAACTAGCTGAAATAAAATAAATATTTTTTATATTTTATTTCATTTAATGTGTATGGCCTGTTCACACCAAGAACGATAACGTTATCAACATCCACACCAACGCACGCTAACATTGTTTATCATAAACGTGCGCTGCAGTTATGTCATAGTGGATTCCAATGGGCTGTCAATGCTTTTTTTTTTTTTTTTAAAGTGCCACTAGTGTTATAGTTGTGGTGTGAACTCCACTATTCTTTTACATTTAAATAGATTTTTAAAACTATATCTTTATCTAAGTTTATAGGTCCTAGGATTTCATTTACCTTTTTGCAAAACCTTGGCAGGTCAACATTAACCTTGATTATTTATTTTTCTTTTTTTAAAGCTTGGTTTATGTTGGTATGCACTTGTGGAATTGATCAGTGGGCATTGTTCTGTCTGTTTTATTGTTTTGTTATGTTAAAATAAAGCATTGGGAAAAGCAAAAAAAAAAATATATATATATATCTTTATCGTTATAGTTATCATCTTTGGTGTGAACAGGCCTTTATTTTATTTCAAGTAATGAAAATGTTTTTTATGGTTTTAGTTTTAGTAATAATAATCCTGGCTAGAATAAAAATACGATTTGAAGACTTTTGAAAAGGTGTGTTTTTGTTCTCAGGAGAAAAATCAGTTGAGGAGGGAGCTCTGGAGGATAGAGGACGTGATGACTGGACTCAGCTCATCCAAAGAAACCTTCAAAATCACCATAGACTCAGTGAAGAACCCAGGTAAGAATGGACTAGTTAGATAGGGTTAATAAACCTACTTCAGAGCTTCTCTTGTAACTCTTGCTTTTGTGTCCAGAGAGAAAACTTGTGCCTTCAGTGATAGAGTCGACAGTGCCTTCTCGGTGCATGACCCCGTCCGCAGTCGAGGTGTGGTCACCCCGACGCAGTCTTACCTCCAGTCCGTTATCACTGCCCTTGGACAATGAGGTTTTTCAGCATCCTTATTCTATGCCAAAATGGGTATATGTTACTTGACTGGTGCTATTCCTAAAATGATTGTATTGTAAGTTACTTTAGACAAAAGAGCCTTGCTAAAGACAACTAATTAAATACTTAATGGTTTACTGAAGTGTGTAATTTTGGTTTTTAGGGAGAGGATGATGCTCCACCCAGACCACCTTTGCCCCTCCTCTATGATGAAGACACACCCCCTGTTGTCCCGCCCTTACCTAAAGAAACAACGGTCATCAGACACACTTCTGTCCGTGGCCTCAAACGACAATCTGATGAGAGGAAACGTGACAGAGAAAGCAGCTATGTGAATGGAGACTGCAGGGTAATAAACTCACTCGTGAAGGTCATTGTTATTGTAAAGCTTATTGTCATCAGTGTTGTTATTGTTAACTAAAACTATTAAAATTAAATTTTATAAGTATATATAGATGAAAAACTTACAAATAGAAACGAACTGAAATAAAATTACTAAAAAACTGGGAAAAAAAAATGACAGAAGCACATAACTGAATTACTAAAACCTAAACTAAAATGAAAATGAAAATTGAAAATATAAAGTAATTCAAAATATGAATGAATAAATAAATATAATAGTATATAAGTAATAATAAAAAAAACGCTTAATTCAAGTAATTCGTCTTACTAAACTTCACATGTACAAAAAAGAATAAAATGTAGTTTTTGAATAATGGATTTTCTTTGGAAAACGTTTTTAAATAATTAACTTATACTTTATCACCATCCATGTGACAGTAATATGCATTGTGATTGCTTTGCAATAAGGATGAAATCAAATGTTTGGGCTTTAGGTGGAACTGCGGTCCTACCTGAGTGAACCAGAGCTTCCTGGATCAGGAACAGATCAAGTGGACCCAGGCTACTTGACTCTTCAAAGAAGAGGTGAAATATTACTGCTTTTGATCATTCAGGTTATCTTTAAAACATATGATGCTTATAGGGGTAAAATGCCATTTAACAAGTTGTAATACCAGTATACCTGAAAAAATGAACCATTTTTGTGATCACTTAGGCCTGTCAGGCTGCTCTTCCAGAGTAAACCAGTACGGTGTGACTTCCTATTCACTAAGGAGAGGAGATTCAGCGTTATCGACAACAGTGAGCACCTGATTACTGTAGAACTGATACTTCATTTAATTATTTATTCATTTTGAATATATTTATAATTTATTATATTTAATACAAAATGTAATTTAATAATGTAGAATATATATATATATACGAATTGTCATTTTCTGTAATATTTATGATTTTATATTATATTCATTCATTAAAAACATAAGCAATTTGTATTTGTATTATTTTATTAAGCATTTATTTCATATTATATTAATTCATTATGGATGGATGGATAGATGGATGGATGGATGGATGGATGGATGGAT